TTCGTTTTAGGCTTAAGTTTATATGCATGTATAGGAGAAAGTGTATTCCACAACTGTACTTGAAGGTAAATGAGTCATTAAATAGTCTATTTTACGTGTAAAAATAAAGAAAGTTTCTTTACAATTCATGCATACATTAATGCATGGATATAAATATGTTTATGCAAGTTTATTTTAGGCTAAATTTTGTATGCATGTATAGGATTGTATGTACTTCTTTTAATGGTGAATCACTTTTCTTTTCTACGTACAAAAAGAAACTTTTATTTTAAAACTGCGTGCATCACTGCATGCTTATAAATGGATAGTTTATGCGAGTCTATTTTAGACTAAAGTTTACATGCATGTATCAGAGTGTATTTGTTCTAGTAATTTAAATAGTCTTTTTACACGCAAAATGAAAAATGTTTCTTTAAAAAAATCATGCATGCATACATTAATGCATTTATATAAATACGTTTATGCTGGTTAATTTTAGGCTAAAGTTTATATGCGTGTATCAGAGAAAGTGTATTTGTTTTATAACTTTAAAGTTGAATCACTCATTAAAGTCTTTTTACGTGCAAATAAACTTTTACTAATTAATGCATCCATGAATTGGTTGATTTTAGGCTTACGTTTATATGCATATAAAGGTATATTTGTTCAGTAACTTTAAATGTGAATCACTCATTAATATTTTTTTTACATGCAAAAGGATATACTATTTACAAATTCATTCATGCATGCAAAGATTAATGCATCCATGAAAAATGAAAAACAAATGCATGCAAAAAGAAAATGCATGTGTGAATTTACAAATAGGAGAAAAATGACGGGTTCAGGGAACCTGTTTAAAATATTTGTTGATTCTAATGGTGCAGGAAGTACACATTTCACCTATAAAATGTACAATTGAAATAAATCACATCTTATTTAATTTTGGCATGATTCTGACAAGCAAAAAAACTATCATTTAAAAATGAAAATCTGTTCATTTTCACACAGTAAAGTGCTGCATTGACGCTGTTGTAAAGGTAAGTGTGTTAATTGAGAGACAAGGAAACTATGTAGAGTAATGTAATAATGTTGACAACCCCTGCTGTTCAGAAAGGATAAACTAGCCGTGAGCAAAAAGTAAAATGTGTTATCTACTCATACTAAATTCTCTTTACAGTCTCCAAAATTGTCTTTGCAGATCCCTCACAGATGAACTTCAGCTGTTTAGTTCCTACATTAGAAGGGACAAGGTCGCCCTCCTCTGGCCAAATCTGTCAAATCAAACATGATTGTATGACAGTTGTGATATTAATTGTTAAAGACTCTCCTCTAGTATTTTCTGAGTTTTACATGAAGATTAAGATCGTAAGATGCTAGTGCATTTTTTCTTTTCAGGGTAAATAAGACTAGACCATAAAGCTTCACACAGCCCACCTGAAGATCCTGAAGCACCAACAGGTACATCACACAGGTGTGACACTCTTCTACAAGAAAGTGCTGTAGGAAAAACACCAATCACAAATGAGATCTCTTTAATAGCTCTGTTGTGTCTCCTAGACTCACATGTGTCTCTTCTGGAGCTTTACAAGAGATTTTAACAGTATTAGAAATCTCAATATGAACTCAAATATTTATCATCAAGTTCTCCCAACGCCGAATTAATTTGATGAATTTTATATCTCTACACTGGGGGAAAAAATGGTGTAGGGTTTACTTTGAAATGCTAGTAAAATTCACTAATAATTACAAAGAAACTGCAAGTAACAGTGAATAAAACATGACATTTTGAAGTAGAAGGTTTCAGTATTTTCTTGAAAAATGAATTCCAGTTATGTTTTTTTTTGTTGTTGTTGAGATTTTAACAGTATTAGAAATCTCAATATGAACTCAAATATTTATCATCAAGTTCTCCCAACGCCGAATTAATTTGATGAATTTTATATCTCTACACTGGGGGAAAAAATGGTGTAGGGTTTACTTTGAAATGCTAGTAAAATTCACTAATAATTACAAAGAAACTGCAAGTAACAGTGAATAAAACATGACATGTTGAAGTAGAAGGTTTCAGTATTTTCTTGAAAAATGAATTCCAGTTATGTTTTTTTTTTTTGTTGTTTTTTTGCAACTACAAAAAAATAATTTTTAGAGTGATACTCTTACTGCATGACAGATATATTTCTGAATTTTAGAACATTTTAGAATTTTAGAAGAATTCTCTGATGTTCTTAGAATTTTAGAACAACAGAGACAAAGCTGATACTAAAATAACTCCATTAAGTCTCCTCAAAGAGCAAGGTCTGGCATGAAGAACATGGTGTTTTTTTGAGTCACTCACTTTGTTGAGATCAAAGCTCAGCTCATTCTCCTCTTCCTCATCTTTATTAGGTAAATGTCATAAAGCTCTCAGCTGCTTAACTGACCTCATTCCATTCAGTGATGTGCAAATGACATACCTTTTGATTGGCTGTTGACTTTTCACTTCCTGTCGACATATCCGCCCCGCTCGGATCTTCAAACACTCCATGTTTGCTGCATAAACAGGCCTCATCCTCACTCGTCCTAACACCTCAAACTCCGATTGAGACTGTCATGTAGATCTGAGATTTTCTTTTGAAGGCTAAGATCAGGTTTTTGGGCAGGTGGATCTGAACCCAGATCAGAATAAAACGGCAAAGTTCACAAAAGAAACAGACGTTTTGCGATGGATTACTTGTGTACATCTTATGGCATATTGTGCAATAACCATACATACTGTATCCTTATAGTACTGTTAAAATATTTATATGTAAATCGTAAAATAAATGCTTTAAGCAGTATATTGACTATATTGTTTGTCATTATGTTGCATGTTTAATTACGGAAGTTGAATTCAGTTCTGAGTTGGTAACCTTTTAAAAGGTAATAAAATGTACACTTTAGGTACTATTATGCACATTTAGGGGCAAATAGCGTACAAAGATATACTTTTTAAAAAGGTATTGCCCCTTTTGTACTTTTTTTTTCTGAGAGTGTACAGGAAAAAAGTTTAATTGCAACAAATAATGCAATAAAGCACAAGGGTCTGTGCATTACAGTGATTTTACCATGTTTAAGCCAAGTCACATTGATTTCTACAGTGCTTTGTACAATACAGATCGTTTCAAAGCAGCTTCACAGCTAAAAAGGAAAATATCAGTGTTCATTTTGTAAAATGTATCATATAAAAAATTCAGCTGTAAATCAGCCCTACAGATTTAAAATTCAGCTCAATTCAGTTTAATGTTGATTCAATTCAGTAACAGTGTTGATGTTACAAAGTTCCGATTGAGACTGTCATGTAGATCTGAGATTTTCTTTTGAAGGCTAAGATCAGGTTTTTGGGCAGGTGGATCTGAACCCAGATCAGAATAAAACGGCAAAGTTCACAAAAGAAACAGACGTTTTGCGATGGATTACTTGTGTACATCTTATGGCATATTGTGCAATAACCATACATACTGTATCCTTATAGTACTGTTAAAATATTTATATGTAAATCGTAAAATAAATGCTTTAAGCAGTATATTGACTATATTGTTTGTCATTATGTTGCATGTTTAATTACGGAAGTTGAATTCAGTTCTGGGTTGGTAACCTTTTAAAAGGTACTAAAATGTACACTTTAGGTACTATTATGCACATTTAGGGGCAAATAGCGTACAAAGATATACTTTTTAAAAAGGTATTGCCCCTTTTGTACTTTTTTTTTCTGAGAGTGTACAGGAAAAAAGTTTAATTGCAACAAATAATGCAATAAAGCACAAGGGTCTGTGCATTACAGTGATTTTACCATGTTTAAGCCAAGTCACATTGATTTCTACAGTGCTTTGTACAATACAGATCGTTTCAAAGCAGCTTCACAGCTAAAAAGGAAAATATCAGTGTTCATTTTGTAAAATTTATCATATAAAAAAATTCAACTGTAAATCAGCCCTACAGATTTAAAATTCAGCTCAGTTCAGTTTAATGTTGATTCAATTCAGTAACAGTGTTGATGTTAAAAAGTTAGAATTCAATTCGAATTTTTTTTTCTCATTTAATAGTGTCAGTGCGGTTAAATCTATATTACTGTTGTACTTTATACCTTCTTAAAACCACAGTAATAAATGTGCTTGTTTTTTATAAAACTGATGCAATAGCTATATAATAACAATAATCAGAATAAATATTTTTCTCAGTATTACAGTTCATCATAATTGTGTTTGTTTACTGTTGCCCAGGAACATAACTTGTTGCATTAATATAGAATGTGAGGTCACAGGTTTGTATTTATCAGCTTTTTATTACTTCAAATGCTGCTTATCCAGACAGATTTTAAAGTCAATTTCTGTGTAGAAACAAACCTTAAATACTTTAAAGATTTTCTGGATATTACCAGAATTGTTGCCCAGTAAAGTGCATACAGTACAATTCATCTGTGGAGGGCATATTGTCACTGTCTGGGGCAAGTTGTCACAATAGGAATCTGTATTGTGTAAAATTACCACAACAAATATGGCAACCCCACTAATCATTTAAAACTAATCATTTTTTCGGTCTTGACTTTTATCTTGATGTACAAACAGCTCTGTGTTAGAAAAACCATCCAGCCTTATATGTATGCAAACTTTTTCTGAAAGCCAAAATGTAATATTTAATACCAGTAGTTGAATTGTGTCTCAATCGTGCCTATTTGAGTTCCTCCATTCAGTGAACGCTTCACTCAGACCTGAAATTAGGCCCATTCTGAGAGGAGATGTATTGGTGTGCAGCATTTCAATAGGCTGCAGCTCTTTTTTGTCATTTTTTGTGTGTTAAATATCACATGTTTGGCATTATTTCTAGAGGGCAAGTGTTGAAAAGTCCTGAAATGTGATCTCCAGAGCGGGCAGCCCCTGTCCGAACCCCTCAGTGCAGGTGAAGGGAAGAGGCTTCCCTCCTTTATGAGACGTATTTGAGTGCAGGTGGAGAAGTGACCAATCAGAGGGCAAGGAGAGCTTCTACCTGAGCAGGTATCACCCGTGTGAGGCTCTCTAAAGCTGCTGTGTGTCTGCATGCAGTCTATCGGACCTATCTCATCTGAAAACCCCTCTGAATACCGAAAAACGGGATAAAACACACCGGTTATGGAGGCTAGAGGTGTTCTAGTTCTGTGTTTCGTCTGCCTGTGCGCGTTTATCGGCGCGCGTGGCGACAAAAAGGACATTTACGCGAGAGTTGTGGATTTGGTGGCTCCAGGTGAAGAGTTCCTCACAGAAGATGCGCTTCTCTCGGTGTTTGAACGGCTGGAGAACCGTGTGCAGTGCTCCGGTGTGTCGTGTGGAAAGGTAGGATATATTTGCGGGCTTTTGGAGAGGTCGAGGTCCAGCGAAGGCTCGTGCGCTACAACTGAGAGAATCTGACTGAAGAATTGGCGCGTAATTCACTGTTTTGTGGCTTAAATCATAATGATATACAAGTAAACTCTCTTATATAGGCTGACGATATAAGTTAAGGACGGTTGGAGAGAATAAATCACGCCTAAGAAGAGAAATAAAAAATCGGTGCCGTCAAAGTGCCTCTTTTATATCAGCAGTTGACATGCAACACGTTCATGAACTTCGTTACTTGTGCTGAACAGATTAATTGTTGAAACGATGCGTTTTGTAACCGGTCACGATGTCTTTGCGTAATTTTAATCACCTTTAATCTCCTTTTGACCTTCATTTTAAGTAGTCCTGTGGTGTGACAAATGATTTTTTCCAGTATAAAAGATTCAGTCCATTCAGCATTTAGCAGGTATTGGGGCATGTTGTCACAACGCGGACCTGTGGCATTTATCTGTATTTAAAATGTATGAGAGAGTTCACAGATATCAAAATTAAGTCCTAGGAATGTTTCTTTAACCACTAGATTATGAAAACATTATTTTCGAATGCTCTCTAACCGTTCAAAACGCCCGTAATTACAAAAATTTTTTTTTTAACGTTTTAACATGTTTTAAACACGTGTTTTTGTTGTTGTTGTTGTTGGTTATACAAACGTTAAGGTAACATTCAATTTCATTTGGTGTGACAAATGATTTTTTCCAGTATAAAAGATTCAGTCCATTCAGCATTTAGCAGGTATTGGGGCATGTTGTCACAACGCGGACCTGTGGCATTTATCTGTATTTAAAATGTATGAGAGAGTTCACAGATATCAAAATTAAGTCCTAGGAATGTTTCTTTAACCACTAGATTATGAAAACATTATTTTCGAATGCTCTCTAACCGTTCAAAAAAAAAAATTTAAAACGTTTTAACATGTTTTAAACACGTGTTTTTGTTGTTGTTGTTGTTGGTTATACAAACGTTAAGGTAACATTCCATTTCATTTTATACAAACATGGAAAGTTACTTTTGAATGTTCTCTGAATGTTCTAAAATAAGTATTAACATTTAAAAAACATCAGATGAACGTGAAAAAAAAAACATTTCGGGAAGAAAAAAATATATTTTTAAATGTTTTTAGAACATTTTATTTCATCATATTACAAACATTATGGAAAGTTACTTGTGAATGTTCTCAGAATGTTCTAAAACAAGTAGTAACATTTAAAAACGTTAGATAAAGGTCAAGTTAAAATGCTTCAGGAAAAAGTACAAGTTTTTAGAACATTTTTAAAGACCTGTAACGTTGAACGAACGTTCTATTAACGTTACTGGAAGAATGTTTGTTCAAAGCTATGAGAGAACCTTACCAGAACGTTCTGACAACGTTCATTATTAGCTGGGTCATTTAATATCTTAAAATGATAAACAATTATGAAATGCAAAACTATTCATAAAACAAGAAGAACAAAAATGCTTTAATAAAACATGACAACTTTCTTCAGCTTGACATTTATGGAAAGTTTTTCTTCTCTTGACCCAAGTTTAACCTTTCAGATCAAATCAGTTATTTGTGTAGAGCCTTGTCTTAATGTCTTACGTTTTGGTTTTATTGTATTTATAAAACTACTCCACAAAACCAACATAACAATCTTGATCACCAAAAAGCACTAGAAAAAGGTGTTTATGTGATTGGACTTTGACTTTAACCTTACACTCTAAAAAATGCTGGGTTAAATATAACCCAGTGCTGGGTTAAAAAGGGACAAACCCAGCTATTGGGATGTTTTGACCCAGCGGTTGGGTTGTTTTGAACCCAAACGCTGGGTCAAAACAACCCAATAGCTGGGTTTGTCCCTTTTTAACCCAGCG